GAGCCGAGGTGTGCCCGGAGTATGTGGATTACAGATCGGTGCCCATTCTCTGCCATTGTTCCGATGGCTGGGACACCTTCCTCTCACCTGGAGTAGAAGCCAGGGAATAGGAGAACTCAGGAACCAGTGGCATGGGGAATGGCTGGGCAAGGTGCCATTCCCCATGCCAGAGATAGAGAAAAGCCAGTGGTGATCCCAGAGTGGGCTTGCCCAGATCCAAGAGGCTCAGTGACAGCTCATGCCTCCAGATCACCTGTCTGCGCTCCCCCTGAGTTTAGACAGGCTTCCTTCGTCACTGAAGCATCTTGGGCCTCCGACCCCCAGGAAGCCTGAGCCGCTGACTGGTCCTCAGTCTGACGGCCCGTGTCTCTCTCCACAGGAAACATCATTGGCTCAGGCATCTTCATCTCACCCAAAGGTGTCCTGGAACACTCGGGCTCCGTGGGTTTGGCCCTCTTCGTCTGGGTCCTGGGTGGGGGCGTGACCGCTCTGGGCTCTCTCTGCTATGCAGAGCTGGGCGTCGCCATCCCCAAGTCTGGTGGGGACTACGCTTATGTCACTGAGATCTTCGGGGGCCTGGCTGGGTGAGTGAAACTCTGGCAGGGCAGGGGATGCGCTCTCTACTGTGGAGTAGGGGTAGATGCAAATGGTGCCTGGGGGTGTCTGGCAGCCTTCCACAGCTAGAGTAGGTAGCACCAATGCCTGCTCCATTTCTCTGGTATCAGACCCTTGCCCTCTCTGGGCTTCCTTTATCTTGTTATTTTCTCTCACTTGGTCTGGTATTCTGGGACAGCCTTACCATATAACCCACATTGACCTTAAACTCACAATCCTCCTGCATGTACCTCCCCATTGGGGTCACAGGCCTGACAGAAAAGGGGCACTCACTTCTGTGTCTCCTTTTAAATGGAATGCCCTTTCCGGTCTGCTCCCCTTGGGGCGTTTAGAGGGAGGGATGCTTACTCTCTGAAGCCACCAGAGGATGCTAGCACGCTGGTCAGGAGGGTCTTTATTCTAGTCAAGCTGTCTCTGTAAGCGGAGAGAGGACGGACGTGGTGTGTCCTCCCATGTATTTCACGTGTTTGATCACACACACACACACACACACACGCACACGCACACGCACACGCACACGCACACGCACACGTTGTCCCCAACCTCAAGTTTCTCACAGAACAGAGCAGAACAACCCTCGAATGGGATTCAACCCTTATTTTGAGGGTGTGACAAAGGTCAGTAGCTATGCAGCCGAGAGTGGGGTGCACACCATGTAGGGAAACCCCATTTACACTGCCTTGTTTAAAAAAAGGATATGGTTTTTATCAGCCCCCTTAGCAAGGAGAGCATCCTTCCATGGCTCTGAGAGCATGGTCAGAGAATGGTCTGCCCAGGGAGTCTGTCTGCTGCGGGCAGGGGCTAGGCCAGGTTCATAGCAGGATTGGGGAAGATGGGGGATTGAAATTGCTGTAGTTGTCTAGACAAGTTCAATGAAGATTCTTAAGGTCCCAGCCTACTCCAGGAGGACATGGTAGCCAATGTGTCATGAGGGTCAGATAGGTGCATCAGGGGTGACACCCACTGTCCCATTTCAAAGGCTCCAGAGATGATGGTCTTAGTAATAGAGGAGTCTTGGGGCAGGACTTGTATTATTGTGGAGGTCTGTGGCATGTTGAAGGAGGCCCTCAGTCAGGTCTTGGGTAGAAAGGTCTAGGACCCACAAAAGCAGAAGTCTGTTACTGTGGGTCTGGAGATAATCCTCAGGGAGAGGGTGAGAGAAAAGGGGACTCCAGGGACTCCACTTCATGAGCAACCGGAACACAAGAATGAACAGAGGGGATGGACTGTTGATCTGTAATGCCTGAGAAGCCGAGGAGTTGGGTTATGCAAAAAGCTGGGGGGGGGTGGATCAAAGATGAGGATTGAGAGGCATGTCCCAAGGGACTCTTCACCCTCAACGGTGAGCCAGGAGCTAGCTAACACCATCCCCAAGGGTGCGGGCAGGACCACCTCTCTGGATGAAGGCAGTCCTTGAGCATATTCCTAAGCTGAGAGTCCCAGTCTCCCACAGGTACTGCAAAGGTGAGGGTCTGGAATAAGGGACATAAATCACTCTTCTTCCCAAGTCAAGGCAGGAACATTGCTCACCATCAACCATCTTAAGCCACAAAGTGCTGAGAGCCCCAGATGATGCTATAGCTTGAGGACTGGGATTTGCCTGCCTGGGCTCAGGGGGCAGCCTGGGATCAATTTCCAATTGTTCCAATACCCACCTCCCCAGCCTCTGGCAGCCCACCAGCTCTGGGGGGGGGGCTGGTTCTCCCCTGTCCCAGACCCTCCCATCTTGGCCAGGCAGGTGTGGGTAGGAGGACTGAGGGTGCCCTCTACCATGCTGGCCCTCACTGCTTACAGATTCCTCCTGCTCTGGAGTGCTGTCCTCATCATGTACCCCACCAGCCTGGCTGTCATCTCCATGACCTTCTCCAACTATGTGCTTCAGCCTGTCTTTCCCAACTGTATTCCCCCGGCCACAGCCTCTCGAGTACTCTCCATGGCCTGCCTGAGTGAGTGTCTTTGAGCCTCTGTCCTCACAGCAGCTGGCTGCCCCACCCCCATGATACTCTCTGAGCACTCCGCTGGGAGGAAGGTGGGGTGGGAGCCACCACCTGCCGTCACTTGTAACATCTACCTCCAGCCCCAGGGTGCTGGCTACTGAAGAGTCTGTGCCCCTTGTTGTCTGGCCTCAGGTGCCCACACCCCTTTCTTCCCTAGTGCTCCTGACATGGGTGAACAGCTCCAGTGTGCGCTGGGCCACACGCATCCAGGATATCTTCACCGGCGGGAAGCTGTTGGCACTGGCACTCATCATTGGTGTTGGCTTTGTCCAGATCTTCCAAGGTAGAACCAGGGTGGGAGCATTGGAGAGAATTGGGGGGTAGGTGCTAACCCCTGACATCTGGACTCCCCAGGACACTTTGAAGAGCTGAGGCCCACCAATGCCTTCACGTTCTGGATGACACCGTCCGTGGGTCACCTTGCCCTGGCTTTCCTGCAAGGTTCTTTTGCCTTCAGTGGCTGGAACTTCCTCAACTATGTCACCGAGGAGCTGGTTGACCCTCGCAAGTGAGTGACGCACCTGGACAGGCACTGGTAGGAAAGCAGTGGTCCTCACAGATCTGCTGGTACCCAAGGTTCAGACTGGCCATCCGCCTGACCACACTTGCTGCTATGACAACAGGCTCGAAGGAGAGTCCTGAGGCCATGTTCTTCCTGTCTGCAGCTGCAGCTGGGCCCCTCCTGGGACCTTGGAAAGACTTGAATATCATTATGCTGCTGTGTTGGTGATTTACATTTGGTTCAAAATTATCCATATGCACACAACATGGTTCTGAAGGACAGAGCCCATGATGTTCCATCTGATGCTCAGCCAGAGGCCTTGGCAGGGACAGTGGCAGCTGGGGGGGCAGGGGTTTGTGGAGAATCCCCAGGGAGACCTCAGACTTGAGGGCTGAGCTCTGAAGGCATTTGAGATTTTCCACGCTGACTTTGGCTATATGCATTTTCTCTTTCTACCCAGACATTAATTAGATCCTGCCCTCAGGGGATGACATGTCCTCATCCCAGTGGCCTCTGTGCCTCATTCTGTGCTCAGACAGGGCTTTGGGGGGAAGGCAGACAGCAATATGTGCCTGTCCCCAGCAGCAACGCCGTTCCCTTTCCTGCCTGAAGCCGCGCCCCCTCCCCCAGCGCCACGTCCCTGGACGGAACTGACACTCTAATCTCTGTCCCCAGAAACCTGCCTCGCGCCATCTTCATTTCCATCCCGCTGGTCACCTTCGTGTACACGTTCACCAATGTTGCCTACTTCACTGCCATGTCCCCCCAGGAGCTGCTGTCCTCCAATGCAGTGGCCGTGGTGAGTGGGGACCTCAGCCCCCTGCAGCCCCCACCCCATCCCCGGCCTCATGCCTCGCCTCTCTTCTGTGCCCATGCAGACCTTCGGTGAGAAGTTGCTGGGCTACTTTTCGTGGGTCATGCCTGTCTCTGTGGCGCTGTCTACTTTTGGAGGGATCAATGGCTACCTGTTCACCTCATCCAGGTGACTGGACTGAGGGAAGGGGAGAGGATGTATTGGCAAGACTAGGTAGGAACCTTGCTGGGTGCAGGCTGCACTAGGGACCTTGGCAAGGGAAAGCTGAGGCAATGAATTCTCCAGTAACAAATATCTGAACCCAATCCTGAGGTAAAGAAAGCCAGGAGACAGACTACATGAGGAGAGCTGGTAGGGCCTGGAGGGCAGAGGGCAGAGGTCAAAGGTGACAGCTGGGTTCTAGCGCCACAGAGAAGCTCCGACGCCAGACTCTGGTCCTTATCCATCTCCCTCCCTGTACCCAGGCTATGCTTCTCTGGAGCCCGAGAGGGACACTTGCCCAGCTTGCTGGCCATGATCCATGTCAGACGCTGTACCCCAATCCCTGCCCTCCTCGTCTGTGTAAGTTTGGGAACCTGATCAGCCAGTGCACATAGCCAGAGACATCTAGCAATGGGTGGTTGTTGTTGTTTTTAAATAATGGCAAAAACCTCATTCCTGCCTATGGTAGATGAGCCATGGAGGGTGGGAGAGGGCTGGGACTTCCCTGACCTCCTGACCTGAGTGGGAAGGCCCAGAGCAGCCTGCAGGGATGGTCAGAAGCAGGTGGGAGGCCAGCTGTCAGCCCTCGGTCCTCTCCCAGTGCGGGGCCACAGCGGTCATCATGCTCGTGGGTGACACATACACACTCATCAACTATGTGTCCTTCATCAACTACCTCTGCTACGGAGTCACTATCCTGGGCCTGCTCGTGCTGCGCTGGAGGCGGCCAGCACTCCATAGGCCCATCAAGGTGAGGCTGGAAATAACCAGGGCCAAGTTGAGCCTCAGAGGCAGGTGTGGGTGACAACGACCAGGACTACAGCATTTGCAGAGCGCAGGGCTTTCCATGCACTGACATATTCTCTCCTCATAGCCCCAGGAAGCATGTGCTTTTAATATTCCCAGTCCACAGACAGGGACAATGAGACCAAGGTCACATGGACTGCCAATGACAGAGCCTGGCATTCTCATGATCTCACATGAAAGAGTGACAGAAAAGCCCCCCATCTGTATATAAATCCTGAAGATTGCCTGAAATACGAAGCACCAAAAAATAGTTGAGCTGCAGCCAAATGCAAACGGCAACAGATAGCTCAGCACTCCTCAAATAGACAGCCTCAGCAGTTCAGCCAACTGGTCAACCCAGGAGTTGCTCCCCAGTGCACTGGGCTGCAACCAGTGGGGCCAATGCAGGCCCCGGTTCCCAAGAGATGGAGAGAGTGCCTCTGATCCCCGGGGTGGTTCGGGAAGGAGAGCTAGGGTGATGCCCTTCCCCGGTGCTCCTGTCCATCCTCTCTCTGTTAGGTGAACCTCCTCATTCCTGTTGCGTACTTGGTGTTCTGGGCATTCCTACTGGTCTTCAGCTTCATCTCGGAGCCCATGGTCTGTGGGGTCGGTGTCATCATCATCCTCACTGGGGTCCCCATCTTCTTCCTGGGAGTGTTCTGGAGAAGCAAACCAAAGTGTGTGCACAGACTCACGGGTGAGCCGCCACCATGACTCTTGGGGGAGGGTGGGCATCTCTTTGATCCCACCCCAGAACAAGGGCCTTCGACCAGCCTGGCTGGTGACAAAGGACCCAGCGACCTCCCTCAAAATCCCTGCTACATGGAGATGTGGCCAGGATCCATCTGCAAAGGAAGCGACTCCCTGCCCAAAGGAGGTGTATGGAGTTCGGGTCATCCCTGTCTCAAAGGATCAACCGTGATCTATCTGTCTGTCTTATCTGTCTGTTCTTAGAGTCCATGACACGCTGGGGCCAGGAGCTGTGTTTCGTGGTTTACCCCCAGGGCTCCCTGGAGGAGGAGGAAAATGGCCCCATGGGCCAGGCCTCCCCATTGCCCATCACGGACAAGCCCTTGAAGACACAATGAGACCTTGTAGAGACTGAAACAGCTGATTCTGTTTACATGTTGTTTATTGAGGAGGGTTTTGTGTTTTGTTTGTTTAAAAATTTTTTTTTTCTGGAAAAAAAAAAGAGAGAGAGATCCGACCCTTCGAGGCCTATTGTAAGGGACCGGCCACTGGGGTCGGGTCTCCTGCCTTAGCACTGCCCTGCTAGCTTCTCCCAAAAAGCCTGCAAATAAACAGGGCTGGTTGTTGCTGTGCACAAGGGGGGTCCATGGGGATCAGCACGGCATATCGGTCGCTAGGTAGGAAGGTACGATGGAGGGGGTTTTCTGGCGAGTTTTGCTGCTGGAGCCTGAGGCTGGCTCCATGGGGCCCATAGGACACAGTGAGACTCCACCTGTGACCCTCCATCCCACCTTGAGCTCAGCCACCCAGAATAACCCAGAAATCCCTAGCTGGGACTAGCCTTCCCATAAATCACCAAAGTGAATGCTACCACTTCTGATAGCACAGCGTTGCCCTGGCTTTGGGCGGTTAAACCGAGGCTCTGAAGCAGGACAGGATAGATGTTACCATTGTCACTCAGTACCTTAGCTTCTGTATCCTGAGAAACCATAGAATGGCCTCTGTCATGGTCATCCTCTCTCATATTTTCAGTCTTACCATTATGCTTAGGGACTGACCCAGCAGCCAGTGGGCAAAGGGCCCCAGCCTAGCCAGGCCCCTGCTGCCGCCCCAGGCATGAGGATGGGACAGAAGCCACTAGCCCATCTCCCCCAGGGGCCCTGTGGGGAAGGATGAATAACACACTCACCATGAATGAGGTCCAACACCCCCTATGACCTTTTCGGGCCTCAACTACAGCTCCTGGCAGAGTTCTGGGATGGGCAGCTGGTGCCACTGCCGGGTGAATGAACTGAGAAGCCACAGAAAACATTGTGGAAAGCCTGGCTCTGGCTCTCCTGCTTTTCTGGAAATGAATCCCCAGATTAGAGTTGCAGGGAGCAATTTGACATGAGACTCCCGGGGGCTGTGCTCTTGCCAACCTCAAAGCTGGTTTTATCACCCCACCCTCCTTCCCAGGCCAACTAATGGGCCCCTAAGCCCCTGCCAGCAATGCCCATCAGGGCTATGGGCGTGCAGAGGTAGCCCACTGGCTGAGCGCCCAGGCCTTCCACCGGGGATGCTAGGTGGGCCTCTGTTTGTAAGAAAGAATGCAGAGGCAGGGTAGAAATGACTGTGTATTCCCTGGTTACAAAGCGGGGCTGTGGCAGTCACCAGCGTGTCCAGTGGGTCAGCAGACCAGCAGGGCTTCATCGTCACTAGCCTCCAATATTGGGGAGCAGGTTGGTGGGGGGCTCCTGCAGACTCCCAATGACTCTGGTGAGTGGGGATCTTGGGTGCTGCTGGCAGTGGGAGTCTGGGGGTAGGGGTCTTGGGCCAAGCAGGGCTCTGGAGGCGTGTCCACGGGGGCTGGGCTGTCTTCCGGAGGGTCCTCACAGGCCTTTCTCTCCTTGTCCTCTGGCCTGTACTCTGGGTCTCGCAGGTTCAAGGGTGGGGGTGGCACTGAAGGCCCCACTTCTGGCACGTGGCCAGGGCCACTGGGCGGCCCATCTCCAGCTTCCCTGGGGCTGCCCGTGTCTGTATGGGGTGCTGGGGGGTCTGGGACAGATCCCGGTGCTGCCTGGAGGAGCCCATCACCCAGCACGGTCTGTGAGGTACGCGCAGCCGTCAGCAGCGGGATCTGGCCTCGCGGCGCCCGTGGGCGGTGGAAGAGCCTGTTCCAGAGGCGGCCGAGCCTGCGGCGGGATGGCCCCCTGCGGGAGGCATGCCGACGCATCTGCCGTCGCATGGCTGTGCGAAGGTTCTGCAGCACTGAAGCCTAGGGGTGGGGAGCGGCTAAGGTAGGGGCCAGGTCATTTGGGAACAACCCCCTTCCAGACCAGAGACTAATCTGAGCTTCCTCCACCTGCCCCACTCCCAACACCCTAGCCCTAGCTGGCCCCTGGGCCTCCTGGTCGTGGGGGCTCTCAGACCCAGCAGGAAAGAAACCTGGGCCTTGTAGGATCTCAAACTCATGGAGGCTCACCTGGGATGCGCTGTAGACAGGAAAGTCCTCTACCGGGGGGATGAGGCCTTGTGCGATGAGCTGGCCGTAGGATGGGGGGGCCTCCCGCCGCACAAACTCTGCCTCTAAACGTGTCATTTGGGTCTCAAAGGCCCTGAAAGCAACGGGCAGAAGGGAAGAATGATAGACACCTGCCATCACGGCAGGATTTAGGGACCCCACCCTTGCATCCGGACCCCTGCATGCACACACCAGAACAGTCTTCCTGTATTGGGATGACCCAAACCCATAGCGTGGAATGTGGTGAGCTTTTCTCCAGGGAGACTTAGGAACTGGGGCTCCTGCCACCACGTGGTGCCCACCTGTACTCCTGCGTGCGCAGTGAGTAGAGTTTGAAGGCACAGCCTAGGGCGATGACAAGCAGCAGTCCGCACACCAGGCTGCCAATGAGGGCGGCGGTGATGACCTTGCGGGGCACGGCGGCCAGGCACCCATGCTCATCGCTGCCGTCTTGGCAGTCCTCCTGGCCATCGCAGCGCCACGTCTCAAAGATGCACAGGTTGGTACCACAGTGGAAGGTGCCCGGCTGGCAGGAAAAACAGTTCTTCTCATCGGCGCCGTCGGGGCAGCTTTTCTGGTTGTTGCAACGATCGGCAGGTGCGTAGCACAGGCCACTGCCCCCCTCACAGGGGTACTGGTCCGGAGGGCATGCGGGGCAGCCCTGTTCATCCCGGCCACTTGCACAGTGCCACCAACCGTCACAGCGCTGTGGCTCCGAGAAGCAGCCCTGCTCCCCGGTGCTCCCATCATCTCCCTCACTGCTGCCCCCACACGGCTGCTCCCACGGAAGGCAGTAACCTTTCACCTGGTACGTGGCATTGAAGCCATGCCCAGCACTGCGGGCACGAGCATGGTAGGCCACGGTGAGGCGGCCCTGCGCCGCCTCAAGGCTCACAGGCCGGTGGTTGCTGCGGTAGGAGAGTGTTTGCAGGAGACGGTCCCCACGCTCGCCTAGGCCTTCATACACTTGGACATAGTCATCATAACCCAGCCGCAGCTCCAGCTGCAGCAGCACACGCCGAGGGTCCTGTGTGTCCACCAGCCACGTGCAGTGAAGGTCCGAAGGCCCGCGGGCAGCGCCAAACAGGTCTGGAGAGGCGAAGGAACCATAGAAGCTGCCCAGCCTACGGCCGCATGCTAGGTCGGGGCAGCCAGCCTCATCAGAGCCGTCACCACAGTCCTGTGTGCCGTCACAGCGCCTCTCAACCGGCAGGCAGCGCGTGGAGCGGGCTCCACTGCATGGGAAGGTTCCCCCGGGGCACAGGCTGCCTGGCGGCTCCGAGGCGGGTGCTGAACAGTTACCCTCATCCGAGCCATCTCCACACTCATCCACCAGGTTGCACTGCCAGGGGCCAGGCAGACACTTGCCGTTGTCACAGCGGAACTCATCTGTCTGGCAGGAGGCCTGGCCCAGCTTCCCTGGAGGCAAAGAGGGACAAGATGAGCCTCCTTCCAGCACCAGGCCTGAGGCTGGGAGCAGGTAAATGGGTTCAGTCCCAACTGGGGCTCTGTACAAAGAAGCAGGGCCACCTACGGGGCACAGACTCATGGACGGAAGGCTAGGTTCAGTATCGGAGCTGAGCTTAGGCTGAGGGCAGGTTCACTTCCAGCAAACTGGGGTCAATTACCCAAAGAGACGCTGAAGCACCCCCAGACATCAGCCCTACCCCTACCCCAGGATTAGTAAGGGAGGCAAGGGGAGCCCTCGCAGAAAACCGGGGCCAGAGGAAAAGCTTGCTGCATCACCTCGGATATAGGAGAGGCGGAAGCCCTGGGCCTGGCCGGAGCTGGAGGCGTCTGAGTGGAAGAAGATCCAGACGTGGTCGCGGGCAGAGATGAAGGCGGGTGGGATGGCTGAGCCGCAGAGGCGAAAGGCCTCCTGGCGAGGTGGAGCTGCTGGGCCCAGTAGGAGCCAGTCCAGGGAGCACTGGTGAGATTCTTCCACATCAAAGTTCCGGAAACTGTGGGGCAGAGGGGACCCCAGGGATGGGCAGGAGGACAGGGGCCTCATGGCCCAGGACGGGCCAGCAGTCGTCAAGCTGGAGCGCATGGCAAAGGCAGCTAGCTAGCTCCGTCTCACCCAGTGGCCCTCCTTGTATCTCCCAAATTGCCTGGCTCTGCGCTCTCAGCCCCTCAGGGCCCACTCTGCCCCTACCCCAGGGTCCAGAGGCAGCTCCATGAGAGATCATGGCATCCATGGGCTGCATCCATCAGTCCAGCTCCCTTCCAGCTCTCTGCCCCATGAGCACACACATAGCACCCCCAGCTCAAAACTGAGTTTGGAGTGTCAGCAGCCCTCTGACACGGTCCCCTAAAGGGTGGTAACCAAGGGCTCAGATCCCTCCCATCCTGAGTCAACTGGACTGCACGAACTCCCAGGATTGCGCACTGAAGGTGGAACTCTGCCCACGAGGTTACCCCACACTGCAGCTGGGTGACTGCAAGCTGCCCAGGTGAAACACTGGCACCAGAGCTGAGCAAAATAGGCACAGAAACCAGAACAGCCTCCGCTCATACCCATCCCATTCCCAGCCTTCAGATCTATGGAGTAATAGACCTGGACGGTGGGGCAGGCTTCTGGATTGTAGCATTTACAAGTGTGGCACACAGAACCCATGGAGACTCCCTAGCCAAATGTCCCCATGATCACCCTAGGTCCGGGTTTCTAGCTCTTCAGTGACACTCACTAGCACCTTTCCCTGTCGCCCTCTGCCTGTATCTACAGCTCCATTCACTGAGGGACCACCTGAGGTCCCTGCAGAAACCCTGACCTGGGCTCCGTGCCAGTCTGGCCTCAAGCCACTCCTCAGGACAGAAACAAACACCTTTGCCACCTTAAGCATCCAGACTCCCCACCAGCTCTTCAGGCTCACTTTGGGGGGACTGAAAAGAGAAGTCTCAGTACAGGAAGTGACCCAGCTCAGAGCACCCAGCCAAGGAAGTGGGCAATTAAATGATCATATGCTCACATAAACACGCAGGCTTATAGCTCACACATGGCCACACAGGTCTCTCAGCTGTCTGTTCCTAAATGTGTCTATACACCTAACACACACATCTCTCTCTCTCTCTCTCTCTCTCTCTCTCTCTCTCTCTCTCTCTCTCTC